TAGAAAACGGGGGTGGGGGAGTTATAAAGTATAAAAAAAAAGAAGCAGCCCGCCAGGAAGTCCCGCCTCTTCCGGCTCCGGCTTGACCAATCGTTGCGGAGGAAGTGCTGACGCGATATTTAAATATCCTGGAAGGGCGGGGGTAAGGGAGCTGTTGTTGGGCGCGCTGGCTGGCGCGCTGAGGGAGCTTCGGCATCGCGTCCTAGTGAACACATCATGGGCAGCTCTGAGGAGAGAGGTGGGGGGGGCGTGCAAGGGAGCCCCAGGTGCGGGGGGAAGGGGGGTTCTGGTGGGAGACGGGCGGTATGGGGCGCCTCCCTCCCAACTCGAGCTACTTACCTGGCCCTATTCACCCTGGGCACCAGCTCCCCACCCGCCCTGCGCGCTACTGGACTAGGGTCACCGAGTGAGAGCGAGGCGGGATTGAACCCTTCACCCTTGAACCCCGGGCTCATGCCCTGTGTGGTCACCCATCTTATCGAGTCCCCACCCGTGAGCTCGGGTGGATCGCTGCCATGCATCCCGGAAATCTGTGTGGGGCCAGGGAGTGGGGGGAATGACTGCTGTAGCAGGGAGCCCTCTGGACTTGTCCTCAGAGTTATGTTTGTCTATAACAGTTATGTAGAACAGCACACACCTGCCAGGCTGCCTCTTGTTCTTGTCCCCATGCTGGACTAGGTGGGGAGCAGTGTTCCCTCTAATCTTTTCCACCCGTGTGAGGCATAATTGTATGTGCGCATTCACACGTGCCTCAGTGCACCACCAGGAGAAATAAAAACCTTAGCGGAGGGCAGTCTGTTTATCAGGGAGGCAGCATTTGAATCTTTCCTGAGCAGTCATATAAGCTCGCAGCTTTGTACAATGAACATATGAGTAGTTGTCTTTTTCTCCTGTCTCAGTACTGTTTTGTGAGCCAGTACCTGCAATCTTATTGGCCCTGTGTTTTCTCCTTCTCTTGTAACTTAATTACAGACTCTGAGGCTTTCTCTTGGGTGAACAATCCCCAGATGACCTCATTTAATATGTTAATACTGAAAATGAAACAAGTTATTTGGCCATAGCCTAAGGACAATTAAACAACCAGAAAGTATCCTTTAATTTTATAATGTGAAAATGAAATAGGAGGGTGAGTGTTTTGGGAGGCAAATGTAGGTATCCTTCAGCCTGTGGAGGAAAAAATAGATCTGGACACCAAAAGGCTCTTGCTGCTCTGCCAACAATTTGCTAAGCTATCTGCCACTTATTGAATAGTCTGTTTCATACACTTTATCTGTTTAAAATTATGCAGAAAAACCTTTTGTGTAGGGCAGAAAAGAGAAATGTGTGTGTGTCAGCACTGCTGGCAAGGGAGGGAGTTAATTTGTTTCTCTGGACCTCTGGTAGGCTACCAACAAACTTCTGCCCTTCTTCCCATGATGAATATTTTGTTGCCCCAGGTGACTGCCTTTAAATTAAAGCTGGCCTTGCTTGTCCCCTGCGTATTTGTGCATTTCATATTATACTTAATTTTTCCTCTATTTTTCTGCCCAAATAGCAAAGAACACACCAGTTTCCATAACAAAAAACAATTTGGGGGACAAAAGGCTGTCTTTCTCTCCTGTCTTTTGCTCCCACCAGTAAATAAAAAATACATAATTATTTGGTAGGTATAAAGAGACATTTTTTACTAACAAAAGTGTTACATGAGCCTTTTGCTTAGTCTCTCTCCATCACACTGTACATTGAAAGGTTTTGTACTTTTCTAGCTAAGTCATTTACATGTTTTAACTCTTTTTAATAGAATGGGTTGATGTTGCCAATGATCTTCTTATGAAATGTCATATAAATCTACATGTGACGAAGCTCTCAGAATGTGATGCCAGTGTATTTGTGCGTCTTTATGAGTCAATCTTGGGAGAAAAAGTACCAGGTAGGAACAGAGCTCCTATATCATTTATATCTATAGTGGCTTTCTTTCATGTCTGTGTGAATACAGACATAAATACAAGTGTAGTAGGAGAGGAATTTATTAATCTCTCAAGTGAAATAACATTTTCAAAAGTGAAATCACAGAATAAACTGAGGCCAATAGAATACACTATGCATATGGCCCAACCAAATTTGCATCCAGGAAAATGACATGGCAGATTATGAAATCTGGTCTCTCCCTGTGAAATCAGGTCTTTTGTGTGCTTTTATGTTATTTCCTTACTATATATTTTAGAAATTTCTGTCTCTGAGTTTGTTTGTTCAAGAACTTCTCCTAAACGGTAAGACCTAGAACTACCAAATTTGGTATGAAGTTTCTTCTTATCGTAACTTAAAGCAAGGTAAGGGTTAGGGATGTAATAGTATAGTTGATTAATCGATAAGTAAAAGCGTATAGGTTAATACTATACACGACACGCATTCCCCTGGCCAGTAAATTTTTTAGCAGGCTGGTCAGCAGCCTGGCTCAATCTTGGCTTGTGCCAGGTCCAGGACCTACCCCCACTACAGCTCTGCATTTAAAGTGCATTAGAAGTCAGGTGGGCAGGCAGCCCAGCTCGTGCTGGGTCTGGGAGCTCAGACCTGCCCCCCTTAGACAGTAGCTGCTGTCATCCCATGCTGTTGCCTCTGTATTAGAGGTAGCAGTGTGGGGTGGCAGGCAGCTGCACTGTGAGAGGAACTGGTTTTTAAACTGGCTACCCTTGTGGACCAGAACCTGCCTGGCACCCTTCTCTGCTGCCTCTGATAGAGGCACCAGCACAGGGTTGCAGGGATCTCCCCAGGAGTGGGGCCAGAGCACACTGGCTGCCGGCCCCACCCCGGGGACTATAGAATGGTTGACTAACAGATGAGAATTAATGAAGTTAATTGGCTATCCAATTAACCGATATTTAACATCCCCGGTAAGGATTTGATTCTGCCAAGATAATGGAATGTGTGTAGAATTCGATTTTCTTATAAAATGAAAAAGGTGGTGTCTGGTAGGAGGAACAGTTATACTGCAGAATGCCCATGGGGGGCAGCAAAGGGACTGCCAGCAGCAGCACAAAAGTAAAGGTTGCGATATGGTACCATGCCACCCTTACTTCTGCAGTGCTGTCTGCAGAGCGCAGCAGCTGGAGAGTGGCAGCTGCTGACAGAGTTCAGCTCTGTAGCCAGCAGCGCAGAACTTAGAGTGGCAATACCATACAATGCTATCTTTCTGCGCTGCTATTGGCAGTGACTCTGCCATGAGAGCTGAGCTTCTGGCCGGCAACGGCTGCTCTCTAGCTGCCGAGCTCTAAAGACCACCAGCAACAACCTAGAAGTAAGGGTAGCAGTACTGGAACCCTTGCCTACAATATTATGATCTTCCTAGCCCCTTTATTGGATCAGGACCCCTACAATAACACTGAAATTTCAGATTTAAATAACTGAAATCATCAGATTTATTATTTTTAAAATGCTATAACCATGAAATTAACCAAAATGGACCATGAATTAGATAGGGCCCTAATCGTGTATTTCTGGTAATATACTGTGTAGTTTAACATTCAAACAAACAAGTTTGAAAAATGTAATGCATAGAAGGTTGAGTAGTCTTTAAATGTTGCTTAAACTACTCAAGTGAAATCTACAGCAGGATTTGAAGGTGTTCTGTTAGCACATGCTATCTGTGTTTTAAAGTCTAGTACAGGCAGTCCCCGGGTTACGTACAAGATAGGGACTAGAGGTTTGTCCTTAAGTTGAATTTGTATGTAAGTCGGAACTGGCTTCCTGGAATCAGCCGCTGATCAGTTTCAACAGCGGCTGAATCTGGACTCCTGGGACAGAACAGCTGGGGCACTGCTGGGTAGGTCCCCGCAGGACCAACCCGGCCGCACCCCAGCTGCTCTACCCCAGGCGTCCCGCAACAAAAGCCCGGTCTGCTGGGGGGGGGGGGGGCGCACTAGCTGGCAAAGGAGCAAAGCTGCCCGGGCAGTGGGGTCCCGCCGCCTGTGCAGCTTTGCTCAGGTCTCCCTGCTGTGCTGGGGGGGGGGAGTCCCCCCCAGCACAGCAGGGAGACCCGGAGCAGCTTTTCTCGCCCCGGAGGACGCGGTGGCGGGACCGCTGCGCTCTGGGCGGTCCCGCCGCCCGCGAGCTCCGGGGTGAGAAAAGCCCCGTTCGTTAGTGCGGATCCGACGTAAATCAGATCCGCGTAAGTCGGGGACTGCCTGTATGTATAAGGCATACAACCTCTAATCCATGCTAATCTGGTAGAAAACTTGAGCATCTGAATATGGTGCTAGGGTAAGTTTACACTGCAAAAAAGTGTTAACTTGGGTTAGTTGAGTTAAAATAACAGTGGAAACACTGCAACTTGGCTTGTATCTTGGGTTGACAACTCAAATTCAGCCCCAGGCTCCTCTTTTGCCTTCCACTCAAACCACTAACCCAGTTGCAAGTAACGTTTCTATGTCTTAGCTAACATGGATAAAGAATGTTTTGCTATCAAAAGATAATTAAAAGCCTTATCTACCCTGGACTTTCAAACATGTTAAACATGTTTTAACAAACCTCTTATCCTGTTCTAGACAAGATTGCTGTAGTGCCAGGATTTAGAAATGAAGTTGCTAGATGGAAAATACCTGCAGGACAGCTGTCTATTACAAAAACAAATATGTGTGCAAACTTGTTCAATTCTATTCTACTGACCTTCTGTGATGTAAGACTCCTATCATGAATTTTATTACAAGATTTGGCTAGGATCATGTTACAAACTATTTCTCGCCTTCCAAATGTCATGTTTATAACAATCTTTTCTTAAACTAGAGCAATGAAAAAATTAGTATACAGCTGCTGGCATTGTTCTACTTTCTACTCTGGTTGTAGCATATAGCACTTATAACACTTCCCAAATGCAGCCACAATTCATTTGTACTTGGTAATTTACCATCAGTGCTAATTCGGTAGCCCCATCAATTCTGGAAAAAAATTAAGATTTCCGCTATGGGTGTGAAGAAACCATAATTAATGTGACCCAATGCAGTATTGTTTTAGGCCATCTCTACTCCAGGGCTTTTGCAGGCATTGCAGTGAGTAGACCAGGCCTTGAAGAGTCTACAGCTGGTCTAAAATAATAGCTCTTATTAAATAACGAGGATGGATCCAGTTCATCTCAGTGGAATCTGAATCTTTGTGCTTATACCTTTGTTTACTCGGGGTGGGTTGAGGTGAGAACTACAAATGTTTGAGGGGCATCCAGACTAGTTTTTACGAAAGTGTTAATTGCTTTAATTGGCAATCAAATTCAAGGTAAAAAAAACTTAAAACAATCCCTGAAGCTTGTTGATTCAAATTAATGTTATGTTTCAAAACTGGTTCATGTAGCACCATTGCTGGTACCACATAGAAAAGAAGAGACCTTAAACAAAACAGCAAACTCTAGTTCAGCTCTCCAAATTTAAATTGTTCTCACATATTTCCATTTTACTATAGGCTATAAGGGATGAATACTACTTAAGTCAGTTCTGTCTTCTAAGTCAAGTATCATAGCTGAATACATTCTGTGAATAGTAACCAGTGGCTCTATTTGCACTCAAATACATACGTGCATTCTGTTCATATATGCAGTAACCATTGAATTGTTTTCCTATGACAAAAGACAGTGGGGTTTCCCACCCCTACTTTACACAAACCTTTGCATTTAATTTCATTACAAATAAACTAGAAAAAATTATGTCGCTTTTGGGGCCTACACAGGGTATTGTCCCCTTCAAGTAGGCTGTTGTATGATGCAATGTTTGTTTTTGTATAGATCTCATTGCCACTCCCAGAAGCCAAGAGGATGATGCACATAATGTACAAGCAGTAATAGATTCTCTGGCATTAGACTACTTGCAGGTCAGCTTGTCACACATCACTGGTGAGTATTTACGCTAATGGTCAATGAACTGAGAAATATACACGTGTTTCTGAAAAATGGTCCAGACTTTACTTTCAATTTTATAATCAAGGATGCAATCTTTCAGAGGATGCTGTCATATCTGCATGCAAAATGGTGCACCTGCAATTACTAATGCCCAGCAAATAGAGGCTTGGTCTAGAAACTAAGGCTGTGAATATTTATAGGGGGCCTGCCAGGGACAGGGGCTGCTCCAGCAGGGATGCCAGAGCAGTCCTGGCTATGAGGCGTCCTGACTTGTGCAGCCCCTGCCTGCGGCGGAAAGGGGAGGGAGTCCAGCCAAGCAGCGGGCATGGAGGCTGCTCTAGCCTGGCTGGAGCCCCCCCTGCCCTTCCCTTTAATTGGTTAACCAATTCCATAAGATTTTACACCCCTCCTGACAACTGGGCCATCAATTTAGAGAACAAGCAAATAATTAAAAAATAGATTAAAGCATGTAATTACATTTTGTGTGTGCTGTATGTGTTGAGGCTATTTGTTTTTACCTTGAAGCTACTTGGATTGAGACACAGCAGACATCCAATTATTCCTAGTGACACATATAGCAGTTTATCTTGCTTTGTGCATCAAGTCACACCCTTCCACCCAACTGGAACAATGTTGTGGTTGGTGATGTCAGGCTGTATGGAAAGAGTCTTTGCCCTTCTCACCTTGGAAACAGCAGAAGCAGTCTTGAATGTGTCCTTGGGGGTATAATTGCGATACTTGGCAACAGAAGAAAAATACATTGTGGTGGTAAACATTCAGACACTAACAGATGGAGTGTTAAAAGCAAACAAGGGAGGATGAACTGTCTAGCTAACTGGTAGATGTGTGTGTTTGAATCTGTTAAAAATAAAACTATTTGTAACAATTCAAGTGATAAATTGCCAATATGGTCTCAATTTTATTTGAAATTGATTTTAATTGGATATTGTCAAAGTGTTTAGTTTATTTACTATGATGTTAAATTGTGAATATTTATAATAGAAATAGTTAAGATATTTTAATTGTCTAAATTGGACTCCCAAAATTTATGGAGACCTTCAATTTTTAAGTCTGTGGTTGATTCTTAAGGTTTTTTTAATTGAATGACATAACTTGAAATATAAACCAGATCAGTCTCTTAACAGTAACAGTGCTAACAAACATCTGCAGTAAAATACTGACAGAATAGTTCAAATTCTGGTTCCAATCATACTTTAGAAGAAGCCAAACATTCTCATGGGTGTTAAAGACCAACATTTTTATAGAGGTTGCAATATTGCTTGTGACTATTTGTAAATAACTGGAGTGCATCTAAGTCCTCTGAAATCTGAGCCTACATCCGCTCTGGGCAAGACACCCTGGGCATGTCTAAAGAACGTGCGGCTGTCATTATGTAAATGAAGCGCGGGAATTTAAATCCCAGCTTCATTTGCAATTTTGATCTGTCTAATTTACACCCCTCTTTCGAAAAAGGGATGTAGTCTAGACATGCCCCCTTCTGT